GAGAAATGCCACCTTTGTAATTTTAATTTATATTCATGTAAAATAAAATTGGCAGTTCCCTGTTAATAAACCTTGCTTAAGGAAAAAAATATAGTAAAAAAAATCAGTTGCTGAACTATGGTGAGTAATTAGCCCCTTAGCATCCCCTTTCTCCAGGAATGCTTCCTCCTGAGCTGGCTCTTTTAAATAGCTCCAGTCCTGGCTGCCTTTGTTGAGCTTGGAAATTGTGCACATATGAGAGAAATTAAGCCCTCATTTAACAGGGACACATGCCTGTCAAGTCCAGAGGAACAAAGGCTGGTCCCTAGGGGCTACTCAGCTCCCTGAGGCTGCCACTCATTCTGTTAGCAATGCTTACCCTTTAGAGATTGTATATAAAACCCAATAAATCATTTCATCTGCTCTGGTTCATATACACATGAGCCTGGGACTTTCTTCAAAGTATTTTTTTCTTTTGCTTGCAACTCTATTCATTTATTAAGAGGTGACCTATGTTTGTGAGAGTGTAGCTAGGTTTTTACCTTTATGTAATAACATTAATGTCTGTGAAGTAAACTTGAAACGTTTACTGTCAGAAATAAAGACATTTGATGCTGCATCTATTTCACACAGGAAATGTTTTATTACTCTTTAATGGTCAGTAATCATCAGTGTCTATTGTATAAATTACCAGTATATTCTGTTATATATTCAGTATATTCCTCTGAAAGTTACATTGAAATGTATGCATATTTCAGCTGACAGTAAAACAACAAGATAAATAAAATGACAGATGTGTAGCCTTGCCTAGGAAGAGAGTATTTTCTCAATTAAAACAAACCAAACAGGAAAGTAATACACTGAGGACATCTTTAGTTTTGTTCTTTACAAAGTGTTATCACAAAGATGCATCTATACTATCCTGGATAAAACAAAACAAAAAGGACTCTGATCATTAATAAAAAATAAAAACAAACAAACCAAACAAAGTGATAGCTAAAGTAAACGCATGCCAGACAAAAATATTCATACACAATGTATTGGCTATCTCCAAGCACTCTAAGGTGGATGGGCACAATTATCCCCATATATAAATGTACACACAGAACAGAGGGATATTTTACAGTGAATAATCAAAAGAAAAAAAAAGGCAAATGAAATGTTGTCATTTCCAAGCAAGCTCTTTTCTTTTTCTTTTTCTTTTTTTTTAAAGAAAGATAGCCTAATTCTGTACTTCTAGTATTAGACTGACATAAGCGGAGAGAACATGAACAACACCAGCTGAGGAAATGGCACCCTGCACTGGATTCAATGAAGCAAAACTCCCACCAAGTTGAGCATGAGTTTTTCTGTATTACTGGAGTGTAGGATTAAGCCAATGAAGACAAGTTACAGCTGTAGAATAAAACTAAATTGAAGGGCAGATTTGCAACTTCTTTCTCCTGGATGGTGAACATAATGTTTCAATCCCTGCTAGTAACAGGGATCATTTATTGTTTTGTCCACTTCACAAATTTTAACTAACACATTAAAAGCATGCCATTTCTCAAGCAACAATATTATGCTTTGTATTAAAACCACAAAATAAAGAGGGCTGACTGTTCTGACAGCTTTAATCCTGATGATACTGGGAGCCCCAAGTAAAAAGAAGCTGGTACAGCATGGAGTTTTCCCTGCTCAGCAGGCAGAGAAAAAGCAGTTCTGGATTTGATAAGTAAAACCAGATATAGTCAACGGTTATATGCTAAAGCCTTGCAATTAATGGGAAACATCACTGGTCCAATGAACTTACATATCAGTGCAGTCTTTGAAAAGGCGTTTTCTCCCATCTTGTTAAAAACTTACTGGCTGTACAACAGTCACAACTTTTTTTGTTTAAAGACTTGTTCATGCTCCACAGTTGTCATATGACAAAAGAGATAAGATATCAAGACTCCAGGTCCCATTTATATATTAGAAAAAAAGAAACAAAAAAAACCATGTTGTTATTATTGATATTTTTCACTGCAAATTTGTGTCAATGTAGCCATGAAAAGTGCCTGAAAGGATCATGATCTCAATATAAGGTGCTTTATAAATACAAAGATGTGGCACCTTTTCCTGAAAGATCTGACAATCAGAAGAAACTATTGTAATAGTAGTTCATCCTACTTAAGAGTAGCAACCACATTTAAAAACCATCCAACTTTAGACTATAATCAAGGGCTACAATTCTGTGTATATTGAAACCAAGATATTAAGAAATAATTACCTTATAAGAACAAATTCCTCTAAAGAAAGCTATTGTGCTATGCCCCTGCAATCCTAAAAGTGGCAGAAATGCAATAAATAAGCTGTTTCTTAGGAAGAAAAAACTGCACAATGCAATGCATATATCTACATGTTCAGCTTAACAGGTATCTACAGCTTCTTCTCCCCCATACACACATAAAATGCATTTCTGAATAATGAACTGAACTAAAACCAAAAAGGTGAATGACTGGGTCTACTGTGCAGTCATAACAGTCAGGAATTATTCTGTAAGTATAAGAAAAGTAAGCCCTTATCACTAAAAATAGGTTTGTCATAATAGTAGCTGTCATTCTGGAAAGAGTCTGACTAAACCTAATTTTTGGAAGTAAGGACAGGATCCAAATTGAAATCCCTTATCCAAAAGTCACAAAACAAAGACTTTCATTTTGGCAGAATGGTTCATTCCTCAATACCCATATTGGATTTACCTGGTTAACAGAAGATCTGTTTCTAGAGTAGGCTATAAGCAAGTACGGAATGCACACTGTGTAATTCTTAGATTCGCAATATAGAGGTAATTTACTCAGCCTGCTTTTTAAACCTTGAGCAAAAACTATCAGAAACTCGGAGGCACTTTATCCACCTACTCTTTACAAATCAAAATGCAAAACGTTACCGTGAAAACAAGGGAGACTATGCAAAGGTGTTATATGCTGTGCATACCACTGACATAATACTTTAATAGGATATGCTGTAATTTCCTGCAATTAATATCTTAGCAGAGCTATAAAAGCTTTTTTTCCAAAATTATACCATTGCGTTTACAACACTAAAATTAATGTTGTGTCAACCTTTCCATTATAAGTCCCCTTTTTCAGAGGTTTATAACTTGGCTGTAAAAACATATTCTGGCCTAAAATATGGCATGCAAGTTCTTCATTTAGAAGCAGTCATTTTGATTAAATAAAAAACATTATTTAACGGCTGTTTCAAGCAAGTTTTTTGAATATCCTGCAAAATGTGTGAGGGACTGACAAGTAATCTAGGCATTCTTCAAAACAAAATGATTTTGTTGCCACAATAAGCCACTGTTCAAAGGATGTTTCACTGCCATGGAAGTTGTTCTGCATCTATAAGGAAAATACATGGATTTGGGAAAATATAGACTTCTTCAGTGAGAGTCATCTCTCCACCTGCCTCTTTCTGTAGGCCAGTGGCTCCACTTACGGTCAGTGGCTCAACCACATGGGAGACTCAAGCTAGCTGAAATGGTTTTCATTTGAGGCAGGGGAGAGGGAGAGATGAACGAACATACATTTCTCTCTCTGGGTAAAGTGGACTCACGCTGGCTAAAAGCTCAAAGAGAATAAATTAAGGCAAGTGACAAGGTGACAAAGTATGACAGAAAAGACCAAGAGATTAGAGAACCACCCTATGAATTCTGAAACCACAGATTTCAGGTCTGTCAAATTTCATATAAGAACTGGATCAAGTCACTTAGGAATTGGAAAATTTAACTTAGGTGTTTAAATTAGGAACCTCATCTAATCAACAGAAGGTAATTCACAGCACCTGGACTGCTTTATATATGGAGCCAAAAGTCCTAATTCAGTCACCCAAATTAGATATCTAAAATTAGATGCCCCCAAATATCTATATGCTTTTCATTCTGCCTCAAAAGAGTGTTGTGAGGATAATGCACTTCAGCTTATGAGACACTCAGATATGCAGTTACACAGGAGATGAGTAACCTGAAAATATATCACCAATAAAATTCAATGATACGGAAAAGGCAAAGCTAGAAATGGGATAGTAGAGTTCTTCTTACAAATCACTCACGTCAGAGCAAAAAAGAAGTGCCGTAACTCCTTCTCTGAGAAAAGTCTGATTCTGTATTTATCTTATATAAATTGCTATGTCAAATAAGGAATCTCAGTCTGTGCTTAGGCTATTAGGTGTACATTGCGTTACGACCTTTATTTTGTTACCTGTAGCAAGTTCTCACACTATTCATTAATCTACCTGATCTACATTTAAAACTAACTATATGTTCCTCTAACTGGTTAATCTCTCATTTACAGAATAAAAATGACAAATATATTACTTTAAAACAAAGTTCCCTAACTCAGAAGTGCCCTTTCATACTGTGGGGCAGTGATGTGCCTCAGGATGGATTTTGCACTTGACCATCAACTGTGAATTTCTTTGCTTTTATTATTTGGCATTACAACTTTAATGTTTTCTTAACATACTGTCATTTTGTGTGGATGAATAAGATAAATTCATCATTTCAAAATGTACCATTGTATACTATCTACATCATTTATTTTCTTTTGATTGAATGATTACAAACTTCAATTTAAAATTAATAAGATTTTGTGGGAGTTACTGCATGCGAATTAAGTGTGGTGATGTCAGTGTATCCCTCTGGAATTTAAAAGATATTCCACTGTGTTGTATCATGTGTCGCACAGTATATCAATTTTTATTTCCCATCCCTCAAGTATGGAATGCACACTGTGTAACTTCTTAGATTCTCAATATAGACATAATTTAGCCAAGCTGTGCAAATGCCCAACTTGCTGAAGATGATATATACAAGATTTATATAGAAGACTAGTTCTTCCAAGAAAGGAAGTCTTGCATACAACGCAAGCCACTATGTTATCTATTATTTGGGGAGAGGGGGTTCTAATGCAACAGACAAAAGGAGTCAGGGTGCAAACTGCAGTCATAAACCAGCTTTTCCTTACTTATTAGAGAGGTAAATTCCAGACAAGCCCACACACCTTTCCTTGAGAACTACGCTTTGACATCTTTGCAAGTGTCTGGGTTAGCTAGTTGAATAAGACAGTGAACATTAGTAATATACGCTCACTTTACTTTTACATATATGCCATCAAATGTATACCAAATGTTAAATAGAATCTGGTTTGCTCATTTACCAGTTCATATATACTACTACTTCCTTTATGTGAATTCATAATTCCTGGATGCATTCAGACAGCAATGCACTTACTTCTTCCTTGCTGTCATGACATTAAATATATGTAAAATACGTTTTTTTATGCAGAAATTGATTCAGTAATACACTTGTGTTCCTTCTGGAGCATTCCCAGAATTACTACTAAAAATATGTTGATTCTTTAGGCCAGGATTTAGTCCATCTAGTAAATTTAAGATTTTACTGTGAGATTTTAAAAAGTACTTTACAATTTATTTGTACTATCACAATTTATAAAGTACTATTACAACTTAAAAAGTACTTTACAATATTCATTACAGATTATTATGATTTTGGCCTTTTTATGTGAGGCTGTACTACATCATTTTTCTCCAAATACCTGCTTCTGCCAACAGAAATTTTGACCTCTGATATCACATTCCAGTCTTGCCTGTATATTTGAATATTGCCATAAATCATTTCAATATTAACATTTATTAACCATTTTCTTTATTCACCACCTCCTGATAGGTGTGTCAAATACTGTACTCAGTTTTGTTTGCATTTGGTTTGTTTTGGTTTTTAAATGTAATGCAAATTGTGATTGTTTTCCCTCTTGGTCATCACACGGTTGTCAATCACAAAAGTCATCACTGAAAAAGTAACTAATTAGAAATGAAAGGCCAATATCTTATGCAATTTCTGTCAGTCCTGGGATATGTTTCAATGTAACGCTGATGTAAAACCTGAAAAAGAGCTAGTGTGCTGTTTTTTCCAACTACATCTATTTGCCTAATAAAAGAAATTACATCCCCTAAAACTCCTTCCTTATTCATATCTTTGATATTCAAACCACAATACTAGTATTCTAAGTCCTTCCTCATATGAGATGCTGAATTCTGCTAAACTTATGTGAGTAACAACACTTAGATATACAAGTCATCAAATTCTGTCTATGCAAGTATTACTCAAGCAAATAAGACATCGCAGGATCAGTTCTGTTGGTAGGCTGCCAGTCAGCTCTATATCTGCTCCCTGTTATCCATTTTAATTTGTGCACATGCCACATAGGAAAGAAACTGGTTTTCAGTGCTGGAGCAAATAGTGAATTATTACTGCATTATTGCAAATTTTGCAATAATGCAAAGATTACATTATGCAGACTGACAGAAGAGGCAATGCATTCCTGTACTACCAGAGGAATAGCACCAGAGAAGCTCAGAGGGGCATAATCTCTACCACATTCTTTGGGAGATAGGTAAGGATGTCTGGCCCAGAAAGCACTGAGGCTGCCACAGCACATTGCTCCATGCTTGGTTGGAACAGGCAGACCACCAGCTGAGAGTGACCCCTGGGCAGAGTACAGGTGGGTAGCAAACATCTGCTTGATCCTCTGCTGTTATTCAGAAGCTGGTATAATCTGCCCTTAAATTAAGAGGGCTCAAATCTGAAGCCCTACTCTAAGCAAAGGTTGTAGAACGCGTGTTTGCGCTCAATAGAATCAATGAGATTTTAGCCCGTCTCTGACAGAGGCATGACTGAGAACAAACCCTTAAGCCACTGGCAAGATTACAGTGCAGCACACCCAGAGCAAATGAAGCAGCAGTACTTGACTGGGGGTGCCTGTCCCCTCATTTCCAATTTTAAAACACACATGGGAGAGGGAAAGTGGGAGGGCAGCTACTGTCGTTTTCTCCACCAACATGAGCCTGAGAAACAATGACATTTACTCTGGTATAACTAATTTCCACACGTCAGATCATGTTCGGCACTCATGTGCCAAAGTCCTATTCTTCAAGTCTGTTGAAATACCACTTTCTGAAACATGTGTGCTAACATTTGGCCAACACCACCACAAGATCATTTTATTAACTTGTAGCTCATTTCATAGACTGCTGCTCATGTTGCTAACATATGCTATTCTACCATTTACTGCTCTATAATTAGAGAAGTCCTATGAAAGAGATACACAAGGCTTAATTTTTGCATTAAATACAATTTGTTTAGACATGGGTAGGCGAAACAAAGCTATTTAAAGGAAAAAAGAATAAAAAATAGAGTGAATTAGAAAACAGAAAGACAGCTAATTTAACTCTCAGATGGTCACAATACAAATTTTTAAAAACCCAACCCCCACCTCAAGACTGCATACAGTTTTAAAGACTATGTTAAAAGTCAAATCCAGAACTACTTTCTGCTTTGCCAGGATAAATCTTGTTTCCAGGGGCTGAGTGCCTCAGGAGCAGAGCAGCCAGAAGGATCCTTGCAACTAGGGGACCAAGGTGCAAGGCCAGATGCTTTAAGCGTAGCTCAGGAGCAGTGAAGCTTTAGCACACACAGTGTATCTTTTTGCTTAGGTCACCACCACACTGTCATGTCACCTCTCTTTCCACACATCTGACAGAGAAAATTCCAAGCCAGCCAGCCACGAAGATGGCTTCTGTTGGAAGAAGTTGGCCTATAATAGACCTTTTGCATGGGTAATTATCAAATAATCACTTTAGAAATTATTAATAAGACACTATGTAATAATAAATAAACTACAAAACATCTGAGTTTGATGTTTAACATATTTGTCTTTCCTCCATTGGATTAGTTTCCATTTTCACTAAGCAAATTAGGAGCTGCACGGGAGCTGCAATGCCATGCCTACAGCAGAGACCCATGAATTTGAATCAAAGGTTTAGCAGCCAACTACACATTACATGCACGTAACATCATTTCTTGTTTCCATGTGTACACAACTGCATTGCAGAATGGAGTTAGACATAGATTTTTATTTTTTTTTTTTTTTAACTGAACTGTTAGGAAAAAAATAAAAGAAAAAAGATACCAATGACAGCTGGGAACCTATTCATAAACAAACTGGAATTTAACAAAAATGTATCCTTTCTGCAAACTACAGCTATAGTTTATTAAGCCACCAGAATAACTTACATTTTCTACTGCCATAATCTTGACTGCTTATAAATTACAGTACTTTTACCTATTCTTTAATCCCAAAACATCATTATTAAAATGTTTGATGCAGGCTACAGTGCATCTATCATTACTTGTAAAAGTTAATTAGATTAGATAAGAGAAATAAATAGATTTGCATTTTTATCCTGATTTTAAACTTCCAAAGAAGATCACAACAGTGTGCCTGTGGGCAATTAAAAACAGCATACAGCAGTGAAATATAAAGGCAAAAAAGGTCTGTTTTTTCTGAGTAATTTGTGATTGAAGATACAATTACAAAATATTTTAAGGGTTTGCGGAAGCTGGGGGCTATTCCTAGACTTCTAAGCTTTGTTTATAACTCTCACTCTCCTTCAAGGGAGTATCTGATCTGCGCACCCTGCCAACAGAAGTATCAAATTGCTTTCAATGGCTTTATTTGGTCCTGTTCAGAGCTTGCTGGAAGAGGATCAGTTTCATGATCTATAACTAAAAAAATTAAAAAAATAAATGTGGGGGAGAATATTCCCTAGTGCCAGAACAGTAGCATTGCAATTGTTTTTTGCTTGTCAATGCTAAATACAGTTTACAAAGAGAGACAACTTCCAAGAGCGTAACTGAACTCACAATAACTGGATTCCAGCTTGTGCATTTTCAGCAAGCTCACTGCAAGGGGCTTTAACATGTCTCCAAAAGGTAATAAATGAAAGGTTCGGCTCTTAAAATTGGAGATCAGTTACATACTTAATGATGAAGCACACCTTTAAATCTATTTCTACTATTATTAACTTGGCAAAAAATTAATTAAACAGGTCAGAGAGGCTATGAGGGCTAATGTGGAATGTAATTATTCCTGATCTTTAGACATGTACTTCACATAAAGAGATAGTCCTTATTCAGCTCACCAGGTACCTGAATTGTCAGCAGTTAATCATGGATAAGGAAAGACTCATTGGTTCAATCTCTTAAGTGTGATTCAAAAGATTCCTATTCAAGGACAGTTTAAACAGTTGTAACTTTTATGTTACTATTCTTTCGTTTGTTTACTATCACAGTAATCATGCTCACTCTTTCTGACCGAAAGATAAAATTCAAGAAGATTAATATGAAACTACAGCAGATGAATGCATAAATTAAAACCTGAAAAAAAATAATCAGGAATTATTTCTAGTGGCCGAATTAAAACAGAATACTTATGAGAGCAGAGGAAACCAGTTTTTCTATGCAATGGAAATCATACTGATTCAAACAGAAAATTAAATGCTCTGCAATGGCACTAAGTATAGTACAGGGAAATAAGGTGAAGGGAAATGATCCAAATGAAAGCAATTTGGGTCAGCTGTCACAGTAATACCCATGACAAGTTTTTGCGGAGAAGCTGAATAACCATTGCCCCTTTTAAAGATTTCAGCCACAATTTAGGACTTGCCCTAATGAAGCCTGCCCACCAGAGGAGGAAAGCCCTCAAACGCTCATCCCTTAAATACCCCCCCCCCCCCCCCCCCCCGAGGGAAATCCTACCTATAGCAAGATGCTTCAAGCATCAGCGAGATCAACTCCCTTGCTCAGCTGAATGTGGTGGGGTCAGAAGCAGTCCTCAAGCCTCAAACTGAAAAAACTGAATTCTGTCAACAAGGCTCGGAATTCAGAGGGATTTCAGGACCTCAAGCAGTTTTCAAGGTTAGAACCGTTCTAGACATGCAAGCCTTGCCTCCTTCCAGCAGCCTAAAACTGTTCACTGTTTCTGTTCACCATAAAAACAATCATCTGGAGAACTGAGACAGTGTCTACACTGCAGTATTCTACTTTTTAATGAATTCCACCCAGAGAAAACAGTGCAACTTCAGTATTGGTATTGAGGTTTCTTGGGAAGACGATAGGAGGGAACCTGAGAAAACCAGCACTGCAGCGTCCTTTACCTGCCTCTTGCTTTAATTCCATTTCATCTGTAGCCCTTAAGGAGCTACATATCCCAGCTGCAACACTTGTCATCAATTCAATAGCAACAAACCCACTACAAACTGCAGAGGCAACTTAGCAACTAACTTCGCTCCCAAGCAACTTCTGGCTACCAAAGAAGTTGCCACAAAATTACGAATGAACAAATAAACAAGGAACCATTTGGCTCACAAGCAAATGGACTATGCAAACTGGTACTTAGCCTAAGAACTAATCTCCTAACAAGCATTTTTTTTGAGTAATCTCCTCATAAAATCAATGTATGTTTGAGATGGCATCTGTTCAACATGCCTAGCGCTTCATATTGGAACCTACAATGTTCTTCGGGCAATAAGATGCCCACTACCAATCTGGCTAAGCAGCTGGGAAAGGAAGCAGACCTCACTGCCTCAAATACGCTGATTAGATTCCTGTAAAGATAAAGAGGCCAAACTAGTGAGACTTATGGAGTAAGAGTAGCTCATACTGGCAAGAATTTTGAAGCAAATATAGGGAAGGACCACCAATAAATAATTTAGTTCAGATGAACAGAACAATCATTAAAACACTTCTTTGCATACATGTCTAGGAAAGGATGGGAGAGAAAACCTGGGGCGTTTTCATCACTATGTAAGAGAAAAATTGGGAGTGAAGAAGAAAATGACCCTGCAGCCTATTTCAAAATGAACCTGCAACATATTCTAAGACCACATTTCCCCAGGGTCAGTGGAAGGGTAAAGCTAGTGGAAAGTATTAAGTCAATTTAAACACAAAGTACCTTTGAACTTTTTACTGCAAAGCAGGATACTTCCCAGTAAAACATACGCAAATAACTATTCTGTTTAGCAGACACCTATGCTTGTCTTAGCTCTTACGGCAAGTTAAGATTTTTTTGTAGGATACTTGATTTTCTGAAACCAGACTTGCGAATGGTGCATATTTTCCTTTCACTATTATTATGTCTCTTCTATCCTTTATGTACACTTAACATGAACATGCAGTCTTCCAACAGGCAATGACAATAACTGTGCTTTAAAATTCAGTTGTGTCTTTCATCCCTTGTTATCAATACATTTATGTATGTTGACTAAACTCCTTTAAGTGTAACCAAAATTGTAACCTGCATTACAATATTTGCAAAAGCACTTACAATCATTCCTTTGGGATGAGGGAAGGAAAAACTTCAGTTTTGGCATCTAGTAACATGACAATCAGCTGAGTAAGGAGAAAAGGTCCAAGCTTATAACAAACAATTGGCAGCACAATCATTTGTCAGACCAAACCAAAATAAATCAAAGAACAGGTCCATAGAAATACTTTCAAAGTGTGAAGCTGAAAAGGTAATAGAGTCACATGTTAACGGTGTGTCTACCTACATGACGCTCCCTATGTATTTGCACAAAATTACCAGATTCCGAGCACAAGTACACATAATTGAATACCTCCATAACACAAAGGTACAGTTACTCCAAAAGTACATGGTACACATATAGCTGTGGGTCTTTGTACAGAGCAGACTGGTCCCAAGGACTTAGTACTGTCTCAATCCTGTTCTACAGCTGTTAGCTCTAGTTAATGAAATGGAAAACATCCTTCTAACCTTCTTATATAGCAACTTTTGCCTTTGTAGAATAAGGAATTCTATAAACAATGATTGAGACTGCTTTTACTTCACAAAATACAAGTCAAACTGATTGCAGATTTCAGAATTAAAGACAAGATTTAAGAAACACTTCATAATTTACAGAAGTATACTCTGCTTATTGAAGAAAAGCTCTTTCCGCCAAAAGGATGTTTTACAATAATTTTCTAAGACACAAAGACCCTTCATAAAGAGCATCTTTACCGAGGCTTGTTAGTAAAGCATGTGGCTGCTTTATTTTAAATCCTTCCCTCTCCATAAATGAAATTTTAGTATAATCAGAAGAGAGCAATAAAACACACTGACCTGAATTTGCTGCTGCAGTAGATTGATTTTGTGCTGCTGTTGCAGAAGTTGCTGCTGTTGTCTTGCAATCTATTAGAAATAAAATTGCCATTAAATTAAAACAGTTATATTGAAACTTTAATATTATTGAGTGGAAAAAACCTTATTAGCTATTCTTTATTATAGTCTTATTAAGCATCATTTATTTCAAAAAAGAAAAAAAAGAATATTTTAGGGGTATGTGATGCAAACACTTTAAATGCAACATAAACCCCATAAAAATCCTGTTAGCCAGTAAGAAATATGTATTTTAAACACTTGGGCCTTAATTCCACAAAGCACAGAAACATGGGTTTATCTGTGCGCACATGAATAATCTCATCACTATTTAACAAAGTGTTTAAGCCAGTGGTGATCTTTGACTATGATGCATTACTGTTAGCTACAATAGGAATGAAACACATGCTTAAAATTAAGTGCTTTGCTGAATGGGGATGGGATTACGCAGGTGCTTAAGGTTAAACACACATTTTCCTGCTTTGCTGAACCGAAGCCTTAGCTAGTGCTGAATAGTGAAACATCTATAAATACAAGGTCCCAGGGCAAGCTCCTCTAACTTCATTCACAATGAGCAGCACATTACTTTCCTTGTAAATCTCAAAGTCTTCCTTGGAACTATTCAAGTAGGGCCTCATTGTGTACAAAAGCAGTACCTGATATTCAGTACTCATCCTCAGCACAACCCTGTGAAATACGTAGATATTCCTACCCCCATTTGGTAGATTCAGTAAGGGATCTGGAGGGTAAAGTTTCACTCTATTCTCTAACATAGATGGGGAGAAGCAAATATTCAGGGCAGGGAACACTAAGACACTAAGGAGAGAGAATCTACCACAAACACACCATCTACCACAAAACACCATCCCACAAAGAATCTAAAATCAGCATGCAAGAGCAGAAGGCAAACCAGACCTCGGATCACAGACCTGCTTCCTGCAAGGAGTAGCATGAACTGCTGCTACAGAGAAAAAGTTGCAGGGAGCTGAGGCAACAACTGGACTTCTGCTTTAGAAGGGTAACCGTACAGCAGATAGAAACAAGGTCAAGATTTGTGTTTCCTGGAAACCCTAGCCTCAGCACTTCTGCTACCTTCATTTCTTAAATATAATTTCCCCTCCTATAAATATTTATCTAGAGCAGAATAACCACATAAAACAGCAAGAAGCGGTGACAAACGTAGTTTGGTCACTCAAATCCACTGTTTCAGTTTTGGCAAACCCTCTCCTGATCTCCTTTGCTCCCCACCATTTTCTGAACACACTTTCTTTGTTATAAACAGAGAAAGGCAAGTAAAATGTTTTTATGATTAAAAAATACAGGAATGTAGCAAGGTTGATTTTGAAATAAACAGTCACATAGTTTTAGTGCAAACTGTTCAGATTAACTCAAACGGAATCTGCAGTTACATGTTAACAGCTTGTAATTGTGCACACAGGGATCAAGTCTCATTTCCTTAATCTCTCACTTTGTCACCTGGAAATAACTCCATATTTTTTTTCACTGTATACTCTGTATATTTTTTATACATACAAATATACATACATATTTTTTATACAAAAAAATACTCTGTAATTTTTTTCACTGCTACAGTTAAAACTCACTTTTTTATGGGACACCAACACAAAATTCATAATATTTTATGTCTTTCATATGGCCTGAAAGAGACAAACTAAGGTCTACATGATTCTGGGGCTGGATCAAGGCAAAGTGCCTCACAGAAAAGGAATCAGGCAACTGTCATATCCCACTACATTGATGCTTGTAAAAGGGATTGAACTCCCTTTATGAGCCTGGTGTTCAAACACTTCTGGACAAATCTTCCAGTAAAGTCAATAAAAATATGGTGGATGAAGACATGAAGAAGCATGCTCCAGTCTGCTAGTGAAAAAGGCAATTCAAACAGCTAGCAGATTGTGTGCCCAGGTAACCCAGGGGCAGCTCCTAAGACCTCAGATCACCTATTGCCAGACAACTCTAAAGGTTACTGTACTACAGAGAATATTTAAAATCCTGTATGAGTGCCTGAGTTACTATTTTTAATGAGCAATGTACCAATTGAGCTCTTCCACCTCAGAAGTGTAGTGCTTGTCACTAAAGATAAGCTCTGTTGGGTCTATGTGCACATTGTCCCTGCAGCCAAGATCTCAGTGAAGGTAATAGAAAGATTATCATGATACTTAGCTTTAGAAAATAATTATTTGAAATTTCACATTGAAATCAGACACCACATGGAGCTGCATCATGGGTGTTTCTTTCTAAGTGCTGTATGTTTTTTCACAGATACACCATAGCCTTTGTCCAGAATTGTTTGGTGCCGCTGGTGATCTGGCTACTTAAAATGGGAAGCTATAGGAAAGGCAAGGATGAGATTTGTGTTTCCATGTGCAAAGGCACTGATCTGCTGGAGTTCAGACTGCTTGTGAACAGCTTTTTGTACGTGTACATACAATGTAATACCCTTTGAATAGGCATTTACTGATGAAAACCAGAAATGTACCCAAAAACATCTAATGTCAGTGGTTCCTCTTAGATGGAACAGTACTGTGACAGAAAATGTATCCAACACCCTGCAATGCAATTACCATAGCATAGTCTTGATGTATAGGCTTGACACAGTAAAGTAGGGTACACAAGCACCATGTGGCTCAAATTCTGAATTTTATTTGCCTATCGGTTGAGCTACATGCTCGCTTCATTGAGCATGACAACCTAGTTTTAAGTGTCATTTAATTTTCATTTTGAAATATAATTACAAAGTGTTCACTGTAAGATATCACTCGTCTGCAAATGTGTCAAGATTAATTTGTGCTAGCTTATTCACAAGTGTCAATAGTTAATTACTGTGTCATCTCTGGATGGCTAAATGACATTCTAACTTCTGATTTTTTACAGTGTTCCTTTATGTTATTTTCCATTAGGGGATGAGTCCATATTCCTACATGTGGGCAAATACTCCAGCACATAAAATACCAGACGTCACAACTCATTAAAATCAACAGAGCATATATTGCTGTATATATCCTATAAAATACATTTAACTGAAAAGATAATTCTAGTAATAATGTCAGATTTCTAAAAACCACACATTAATTTGGATCTGTCTGATCTAATGCCTAGGGGACTAGTATATGGAATCACTGTTGTTACACTTTTGTACAATGAGAAAAGGACAGCTCTTTGCACAACTGCAGCTTTTTTTCTTTTTTTTTTTTTTTAAGAAACCCCCCCAAAACGCCGAACAAACAAACAAAAAACCTACAAAAAGCCCCATATCAAACCTTACTTGTAGAAGGTATTTGAAGGTTTAAAGATGCTTAAGGTTTTTTGTTCAATTATTTTCTTGTCAAAAAGAAGAAGAGTTAAATAATGGTTATAGTCTGGCTTATTTGTAACTCCCAAATTTGCATCTCAATGCAAGAAACAAGAACTGTGAAATCTATCACATGCCATTTATTCTGGGAAAGAAATTATTTGAATGCCCACACCCACTTTTTTTCTCACGGTCCTATAATATTTCCCCTTTCTGGAAAAAGATGTCATTCCTGAAGATATTTAACCTTTGTTAACAAAAAAATGATGAAAGGAAGCACCACACAGCACAGTGTTTATGATAAGCATTCTGCATGAAACATTTTTGCAGGTTTCTTTCTTGGAGCCTCACCTGTTCTTGCTGTTGGCGAGCAAGGTCCATTTGCTGCCGTTGTTTTTCAATTTGTGAGGCTGCCAGCTTTTTCTGTTCGTCATGGGCAGCCAAGAGCTGCTCCCGTAAGCTGATCAGCTGGGTGATCATAGTAGAGAGCTGTCGCTCTTTTTCTGCCAGGCTTTCTGGTGTACCTAAATGTGCAGGAAAGATTTACTGTAAATATGAGATAGACAATAGCTACCAAGCAATAGCCACAAAAAGAATGGCTGAATAGCCAACATGCTTATTTCAAATGGCAGCTTGCATATATATTTTACTAACAAATCCCAAAAGAATAATCTAGCACATAGCTTTGCTCTGCCCTAAACAGTGGAGGATATAACTAAAATTGAAGCAGAAAAGATACAGAGTATTCCTTTTTTCTGACAGAAGTAATTAATGATACACTGTGTACACATCCCTGTATCTTTTCCATCTAAATCTGCCCAGTGTGATAAATACAGTCACAGTTTATTAGACATAATTTTCCTTAACTTTATATATTTAGCTGTGGGGTTTGGGGTCTGGGTTTTGTTTGGGTTTGTTCCATTTTGTTTTTCCCCAAGTATGTAAAAACATGAAAAAAAATAGTTAAAAGATGATGTTCAGTGGAAGAAGCAGTTTAATAGTTTTTTGATCATTTCTCTAAAATACCCATATATCTGGTAGGTCATTTGGGTAAATGGAAGCTTTGGTTATGGAATGTGAATTGAAAAAGAGCTCTACGTGTCCCTAAGAGAAATGGCTAACCTGAAAAAATGGCTTAAAAATTTTTATGTAACTTTCAAAGTTTACTCTACAGAGAGCACTTAATTAATATGAAACTACGGTACATTTATTCTTTGCACTAATGATGCTTAATGGTCTGTTTATGGGTAAATTGCATGGGTCTCCTAAGTAGAGAGTACAGGGTCCTTTTGCAAATCAATCCAAAAATATCCTATCTCATGTATGAACATATTACTCTGTCACAAACAGCCGTGTCCGCTTCTGTATTTTGAGCTGTATTATGCATTTCCCTGTGTGAGCATCTCAGACCCACAGCTCTGTAAGAGGTAATATAATTACAGTAAGGTAGCAGTTGAGGAATATTGGAAGAACATCTGAAAGAGGTTTAGAGTTGAAACTGGGATAAATGAAGCAATTTTGTGTTGTACAGGAGAACTGAGAGATAAGTGAACCAAATCAAGAACTAGGTCTGTAATCTGCCACAGTGATACGTGAAGTGGCACAAAAGAAAGTGTATTCATATATTTCCTTTCTTCCATTCAAAATAGAGGACTGTGATAAAGAAGTCATAGGACTTCTGAAGAGGAAGAAAATGTGTGAGGAACAGGATCTGGGAGGGAATGGAGAAACTGTCACCAAAATTATGACTCCACCTTCTTCCCAGGAGTAAGATATCTTCTAGGGAAGAAAAGAAACAGGTCGACAGGTTTCATAAGGAGTGGGAAGACAAAACAGACTTCTGACAAGCAGGTGACATACCCAAGATGCTCTACTACTTACATTATGCTATGATGGGACCAATATGATTCTTAAACAGAATTTCATTTGCAAAAGCAGCATACAAGTAAATCTCTGTCTGTAACTTTTTTCCATAGAAAAAGAAACTGCATGGCTTAAGTTATCCACTCTAAAGAAAACAAACTCCCACAAATAAGGGTACCTGTTTTCCTGTTAATTTCTTAATTGCATTTAATGACATAAAGTACAGAAAATATTCAATTTCTTAGCCATTGTTAACTATCTTAGTTTTAAAAGAGTCTGCAACAAACTGATGTTCCAGGACCTTGGAATGCCAAATCTTAATTCAGTACACATGGGACATGGCCTCCAAACAAGGAGGTATTACAGTAGAAGGTTTAGAAATGGTTAGTAATTTTCTTAGTCACAAGAAATATGATGGTAAGAAATAAGCTGAAAGATACTTCAGTATTCAGACCAATTCATTGCAAAACCTTAGTGTGATATGCACAACTGAAGTGAAAGAGTCCTGTGCAAAAATTTGTTTCAAAGCAACAAAAAAAAAAAAAGACTTTTGAAAGTAAACTGAGGCAGGTGTGGGGCCAGGAAAATGTCTGCACTGAAGATATTGCCTTGCCATGATCCATTAGCTTGTATTGAGCTCTACACTGTCACCATGAGCTCAATTATCTGCAACTTCAGCATAGACTTATCTTAGCCTTCTTAACTGCGTTAATCAGTCTTGAAGATTTTGCATCACAAATCAAAGGTTATTTAGGTGCTTTCTAATATGTTATTGTATGCTGAAATTCATTTTCATGCTTAAGAGACTGTTCTGCTGCAGAAAAACTCCCTTCCCCATTGTGACTAGAAGAGATCAACCACTCCAGCTATTTTAAAAAGCCAATGGGAAGCAACCTGGTGCCTCAAATGATACTTATTGCCATCCACTGGCACCTGGGAAACCACAACCTGAGACTTTCACATCTGTTAAGCAGCTTTGGCATTGTAATGCAGACTCCCGATCTTACAGTCATAAAATATTTTACACACCTCCTGCTCCTTTTCCATATTATTCTGTATACTTGCGCCACAATATGCATAGAAAGCTATGACAAAGAATGCTTGCTAAAGCTATAAAGCATTTGATTATTTTGTTATGTTTAGTTAGAACACTTTGATATAGTTGTAGCAAATTTGTTTCGTTTTCTTCTTTTTTCTTTTGTTGTTTTTTTTTTCCTGTCAGAATTTTACACAGTAGCAAGCAGAAGTAACTGTTCTTTTTCAGGAATTCATAGTAATTGTTTTTCTTTCCCTTTTGCCCCCAGAGAAACACATCTGAAGTGAATGACCCCATTTAGAGTACTCTACTCTTTAATTTGTACTGTGCTATGTAATTCAACAACAGAATAGAACTGATGACCACAAAATGTACACTGTGCTCCTGGAAAATAACGAGACCTCCATGAAGCTGCAAGACACCTAACCGAACACTGCTCATGACAAGAAAAAGCATAACATGCAGAATGTTGTTGTATGAACAGGGGGGAGAAGGTCTAATTCAATTTTAGAGTGGAAAATCCCAACCATTATTTCACAGTTTAAATACCAATAAAAACCAACTTTCCTCAGAATGCAGACCAGATTGAGCTGATCTGGCTGGGCCAAGAGAGGTCATCAGTAGCTCTGTGCCATCATCATCTGTTTTGCATCCACTTAGTGCAGCAAGAAATGAGATTCCTAAACTAATTACTAGTAAATAAACTTCTGCTGCTGACTAGAAATATCTATAAATAAAATGAAAATACATCTATCTGTAAAATGTATTTGCCATAAAAAAAGATAAAACAAAAAGCTTAGTAAAAAATATACAGTAAATATGCCAGCATCTATAAAATATTATATATCACAGTGTTCTCTCTGTTCTAATCCTATTCTCTTACTCCAAAGATAGCAGTGCATTTTTTTCCATGGGGTCTTCCTTATCCCCAAAACACATCTGTCTTGAGTTTCTCTCAGATTTGTCAGGTGGATCAGTGCTCCCCAGGGTCTGCTCCATCTGAAGTATTTTAATTTGACTAAACACCTGATTTATTTTATCTCTCCGATGAGAAAGGCAGTTTGTCTTAATACAGCCTGTCAGCCTACAGTCCCATTCACAGCAATTTACAGGCAGCCAGGGATGCTGGAAAAGAAGAGTGCTGCGATTCTGTATTTTATCCTCCTCCAGAAAGCACCTAAAAGCAGCTATTCACTGCTACTGCATGTGGCATTTTAGAACTGAATTAGCTTTTTATTCAAGTAACTACACTTGTTGTGAATAGCTTATCTGTAAAATTGCTACATTCACTACTGATTTTATTAACCTTTGGCTCTATCACAAAATGGTCTTCAGTTAGGAAAGACCTTTAAAACTGACACATTTTTCTTAGGGGCCTTTATTTCAGTGACTTCAGATATACTGAATTTGATGCATTGACTCCCTTTCCCAGCAGAATTTAAAATTTTGAGTTTTTGGGGAAGACGATAGTGTTTAAGGACTTCTTTTAAAATGAAAATGCAACAGTCTCATGAAAAGTTCAGAAAAAATAGTTATTAATTTTGTGATTATAATTTAAGGTGAAAAATAATTTGGTTGTAGCAATATTTTAATTTTTCCTATATAACACATAGGAACAACATGAATGTTATTTTATCCTTTATTTTTGCAAGGATTTGAGCACAAATGGATATAAAACGGTCAGACTGGACAGAACTAAGGCATCAAAGAGAACTTTTGAGAAATTCTGGTCACAGGTCAACCTAACCAGGAATGAGAAAATAAAAAGTAGCTATAAATCTGCTGAAAAAGAGAGAAGAGTTCAACTTGTGGTCTAAAATTACATTTAGAAAGAAAGAATTCTGCTTTGGCAAAAGCTACCTTTTGAAACTGATCACAATATTACATGATTTCTGGCACACAAAGTAATAAAAATATAGTTGTATACCTTACGATGCATTTAATAAAACCCCTAATCCATCATCTTGCATTTTATATATCTAGATTTCTTTAAGCATTGCAAAAAAGATAAAAAATCAAGTATCCTGTCAGCACAGATACATAATACCACTACAATTCCTATATCCATCTCTAGCTTACCAACTTTCAACATTTCTGTTACCTTTTACTGCATATTCAGTATATACACAGATGTAGCTGCATGATGACAAACACAGCAGGCTTTTCAGTGTTAAATTTGGAACTGTCCTTGTGGCAAGTTGTCATGAGATAGAGGCAGAGTAATAACTGCTTGTAAGGGGAAAAAAATAAGCAGGAATAACAAAAAATAGACTTCTAGACTTACATAGTATAATTTAAACTAATCTCTTTGACACTCAGCAAAAGAAAAAAGATAAAACCACATATACTTTCAAGTGAATAAAAGAAAAACTGCTGGTGTCATAAGCAAGCCAAAAAGTTTATAGGCATGATCCAAAGCTTGCAGAAATAGGGTTCTTAGCTGTGACATGAAATTACTGTGGGTTCTTGAATATGGTTGCCTTAGTTTCCCAACTTGTACACACAGCAAAAAAACTACCAATCAGAGGGGTTTATGCCTGGTTAGTTAATGCTTCTGAAGTGCTTTGAGATCTTTGCATGGAATCTCTACACATCTGCAAACTATTATTGGTTCTCTTGAA